TAAAATAGTAGCAGAAAACGAAAGCCTTTGAAATACTCATTTCCAAACTTTCCTATTGATGCACTGATTAGTTATAAAAGAAATTCTGTCTTAAGTTCCCTAAAAGGATTCACTTCCGCATGTGCTGGAGCTGGTCAAAAACGGAAGAGTATGTCAGGAAAGACGCTCTCAAAATTCACACTTGAGCGATAGATTCGCGCTGTTAAACTCCGCGATCAAGTTTTCTGCAGAGTGAGACGGACAATTAAATTGTGTTCCTTGATGTCCTTCTGCAAAGGCAAGATATTGGATCTATCCTGCGTAGGGTATTCCGAAATAGAATCTGGACGGGACAATACACCAACTTTCACAGTTTTGTTTCCCGTAAATATAAAACGAAATCTAGTACAGGGATTAGAGTACAACGGATCTGCTCTACTAAGACTGTCGAAGCAGATTTCCAACATGCTTCTTGAAAATGGATACCTCAGGATGTTCACGAACGCGCCAAAAAGCCTGCTACCTTAAACGCAGAAAAGAAAGACGTGTTCATAAGATTGCCTTTTTAGGCGAAGCAACAAGCGAACTGGTAAGACGACACCTAAAGACTGCGATCACAAGCGTATTCCCGCGGCGAACTTACGCGTGCTCTTCACGAAGTTTCCCCTCCTACGTTTGCGAAGTAAAGACCGACTGCCGTTGGAGGCGACATCCATGTACATGTACTCTTTCACTTGCTCTTGTGGAGCAGGGTACATCAGCCGAACAACGAGGAGACTGGAAAAGAGGGTACGTAAGTACATGCCGACCTGGTTAAGTAAAGGTGAAAATAGATCGATCTCGAGTTCTATTCTCGCACACCTTGTTGATACGAATCCTCGAGTCGATACTAATGAAGCCTTTCAAGTTCTCTACCTGACACCAGCTTACTTTTTCAAGGGCCTTCGCCAAAGGGCGCTTGCAGCAGCCGAAACAATTGCCATACGGCTAGCGAATCCAATGCTGTGTTGTCAGAAGACGCTAACACAAGCACCTTCACTTCCGTGGCCGACTCCGATGCCAAGTGCCGATCGCACATCGCCCCCAACCCCTAGTGACAGTCGTTCGCTCCGTGCAAAGGGCAGTAATTATCGGTCCATGTACCTGACCTCTGACCAATGCCCACAACCTAACCCGCAGCGCAATGACCTCTACACGCCGATCTCGCCATGCGGGCGGCGTGAAAACAATGAGTTTTCATCACAGTA